TCAAGATCTGAAACGCCTGAGTTGACTTTATCTCAAATCTGTTATTTCGAAGGAGTTGCATCGTATAAAGGGAAAAGGGGGCCTTTGAGAATTGGGAGTCATGGAAGGAACACATTTGGGGTAGGCTGGAGACAAGGGTTATAAATAAAGAGAAAGTGCTCTACTGGAAATTTTTGTTTTTTTGAGACAGAGTCTTGCTTTGTCGCCAGGTGCCAGGCTAGAGTGGAGTGGCATGAGCTTGGCTCACTGCAACCTCCACCTCCCGGGTTCAAGCAATGCTCCTGCCTCAGCCTCCCAAGTAGCTGGGACTACAGGCATGCGCCACCATGCCCAGCTAATTTTTGTATTTTTTAGTAGGGACGGGGTTTCACCGTGTTGGCCAGGATGGTCTCGATCTGTTGAGCTCACGATCTGCCCGCCTCGGCCTTCCAAAGTGCTGGGATTACAGGCGTGAGCCACCACGCCCACCCTCTATTGGAAATTTTAAACCCCCTTTATGGGATCTCAATGTAATGTTTGAAGAGGGATTAAAAGGGGTTTGCAAAAATTAACCCTCCAGTCACAGGGCTTTGTGTGCTGACACAATGTGTCATATGATGATAGAAGTAAAACCTGGCACTTACCACACACTAAATAAAGAGTGGTCATCCTTAAGGATATTACTTAATGATAGGCCAGACAGGCTCAAGGGATTAAATAAAGACCTTCTTTCCTCAGAATTGGAATTCAGATCTGATTCCATCATACCACTTTGAATCTTGTTAATACCAAAAGATAGGTGAGATTCGTCGAGCACTGACAGGATGCTCTGTCTCCTGTTTTTTAACCTCTTCCCATGCCTTTTTTTCTAGTAGTAATTGATAACAGAATGTTTATTGTGTGATGGTCTTTGGCCTGTCTCCAGGAGTATTCAAGCTAAGTCTTGGAGCAGAAGGTGAGGTGGCTCAAGGAATCCTCAACTTTCTTCACTTCCACAACATATTGAAGCTAATAAACCAAGAAATTAGTTTGTCTTCAGGGTTGTCTGCTCCAGGGCCATCTGTAGCCCAGCAGCAACTCTCTGTGCTCAACATTTATTGCTTTAGAAGGAACAAGAGTCAGAAGGGAAGTCTGAGACGTTCAGCATTCTAAGGTCCTTCTTTGCAGGGTCTCAATGTTTTCATTAATGTCTACCACACACACACACACACACACACACACACACTGAACAGGGCTTGGAAATAGTGAAGAGAGAAGGGTAATGAATCCTCAAGTAAAGGGTGATATGGCCAGGGGACAAGGTGATGTAGGAGAAAACAAGAGACCTCTACCTTTTCTCCAACTGGATTAGTCAGACTAGGCTAGGCTTTGCTGCAATAACAAGCTAATATCCAACTCGCAGTAGCTTAATACCACAAAGGCATGTTTGTTGCTATGCCATCTAGAATATATGTAGTATCAAAGGACTCCTGAGCAGGGGAAGAGAAAGCATCAAAGTGGTTTCTCTTCCCCTGCTCAGGAGTCCTTTGATACTGCATATATTCTACATTTAACTTGGATCTTAAATATATCACTTGGAAATGACTCATGCCACTTCCACTTACATAGCCTTGATGAGAGCTAGTCACATGATAACAGCTCAACTGCAAGTTGACTGGAACTCTTTCCTGTGCCCCAGAAGGAGAGATGGACCAGACACTGGTAAACAGGAGACATCTCTAGAACCATATATGTAAATAGGACCTTTGTATTTTGCTGAGTTCCATGATCCATCCCATTATCTTCTGCCCTACCAACTAGAAAAATCTCTGCCCATTCCTGCCCTTATCCAGCTGTCCCTCTGTTCCTACCCCAGGTAGCTGAGCATTACTGCTAAGCAGGACATGGGTCGTAGACCTGGAGGGTGGAGTGGGGAGGCATCCCCTCTAGGCTTCCAACCCAACTAAGGCTTTAACTGTTTTCCATTTGATCCTCAACGTCGTTTCATGAGAGATAATTATTACCTCTACTTTGTAACTGGAGAAACTCAGATTTAGAATTGTATGTAATTTTCCAAATGACATAGCTAGTGACTGAGAAATACTGAATCAGAGTTTCTTGTATTCATTTACCTTTCGGTAAGCACGTACCAAGTACAACTTAGTATTGATATGTAATCTCACATTCCCTACTGGTTAAAAACACCATCTTTACATTTGGATGGTCTTCGATTCTAGGTAGAAGAAGGTACCAAATTACTCTTTGTCTCAGTTTTCCATCTATAAACCAATGACAATAACACCCCTTACTTCACACGGCTAATATAAGAATTTCATGAGCTAATGTATCAAAAGTACTTCATATAATACCTGGCTTATAAAAAGCACTCAACAAGTAGTAGCTCATGGAAGAGCCAACCAATAAATATAAGTCCAATAAGGGCTGTGGTCAAGGCAAAATCAGGATGTAATTGGAGGGCGACAAGGGAGATATAAGTCAACTTATGGTATGTTTTTTCGGAATTTGTGGTCACTAAGATAAGGTTTGAAAGAAGAGTGACAATTATCATGTTGAACAAGACTGGAAGGTAAGTCGAGAAAATCTTTAAGCCAAGGGAGTAGCTACACAAATCATTGAAGGCAAGAGAGCATGCCACTGAATTTAAATGGAACAAGGCAAAGGAATGATGGCTAGCAGGCCATAGGAGCAATCAGGGGGCCACCCAGGATTCTGTGTAGTCCCACTGTGTGGTGTGTGTGTGTGCGTGCGTGCGTGCGCGTGCGTGTGCGTGTGTGTGTGTGTACACATATGAAAGCATTGTCCTTAAATGGTGGAGCCCCTGGAGGTACTTATGCAGGCTGCCTTTTTTAGGAAGAACACCCTAGTTATAGTTTAGACAATGAATCAGAGAAGGGGGACTCAGGCAGGGAGAAGGCTACAGAATGGGAGAACAGTTAAGAGGCTGCTGGGGGAGGCCCAGTGGGCACATGTGAGTCGTCTCTTCCCTCAAGCCTTCCATTTCTTTTACTGACATGTGAGGCTGACAGTCCTTGTCTTGCCTACCTCAAAGCATTGGGATAAAAAAATAAACAAACTAAAAAATAGCTACTTAGAACAGGAGCTAGCAAAGTCTTCTGTAAAAGGACAGATAGTAAATATTTTCAGCTTTGCAGGCCTTATGGTCTCTGCCACAACTACTAACGTCTGTCATTGTAGCTCAAAAGCAACCATACGTATAAGGATATGTATACGAATGAGTGCAGCTGTGTTTCAATAAAACTTTGTTTATGGACACTGAAATTTGCATTTTATGTAATTTCCATGTGTCACAAAATATTACTCTTTTATTGTTTTCCCAACCATTAAAAATGTAAAAAGCATTTATAGCTCATGGCTGCACAGGAAACAGGGAGTGGGGGGCCAGATTTGGCCCACAAGTCATAGTTTGCTGACCCCTGACTTAGACTGTGCTTTTGAAATAGCAAAACTTTTCATTTTTTTAAGGGAAAAGTATTATGATTACTATTTACTGGTGGTTAAATTTTATAGTAGTTCATGGCTGTTGATCAAGTTTGCCATCTGTGCTATTTTTGAAATTATGTCTTTTCTGTTTATCAGTTGGTCTGGCATCCTCTACCCTCTCTATTTTGCATAAGAACGTCCTGCAGTGTTGTTGATGGACCACTGGAGAAAGCTGCAGTCTCTGGCCAAGCCTAAAACACCTTTCAACCTTTTTTATGATTTTCTTTAGAGAGGCGAGGGGTGGATTTGAAAGCACAGGAACGTTAAAGCCAGACAAACCAGGGTTTGAATACAGCCTCTTCCAGTTAGTGACCTTGAGCAGTTTTGCAAATTCTATGAGTCACCATTTCTTCATTCATTCATTCATTCAACAAATATTCACTGAGTACCTACTATGTGCCAGGCCTACTAATGCAAGGCCACATGAGTACACTAGTAAATGAAACACCATGTCTGCTTTCAAGGAGACTGCAGAATTAAAGAGAAGACATCCATTTCTAATACAGTGATGTTAGTACAATAAGAAGGGAAGATGAGGGTGTTATGGGAAGACAAGGAGGGGCATCTGTCCCAAATTCACTGACATACTAAAGACCCCCTAGAGGTAAGGGGTTCTAAACTGACACCTGATGGATGAGCAGTTGTCAGCCAGGTGAAAGAGCAGGAAGGACAATATCCCATGCAAAGTGACCCACTGGGGAAGGCTTACAGACAAAAAGGTGGGGGGCTGTTGATAATGGAAAGCTGTTTATCATGCTTGGGATGGGGTGGGTGGTGGTAGTGGAGAGAGGCAAGACCAGAGGGGTGGGCAGGAGACTCATCATGGCGGGCCTGTGAGCTGGGTGAGGCGGTTTGAAGTTTACGTTGGGGAAAATGAGGCAGCACTGATGTATTTCAGCTGAAGGATGGAGAGTAAGACTGAAGGAAAATAAGACTGGAGGTAGAGAGACTAGATGGGAGGCTGCTTAAATAACGTATGTGAAGCACAAGGGGCTTGAACAAAGTGAGAATGAAATTAAAGAGAAGGAAGCAGCTTCAAGAGTTTTCCTGGGGTAGAATTAGTAAAGCAGGGTGATTGATTATAAGAGGGACATCAGAAAAAAAAGGAGGGCTCCTGTGTGTCTAGACTGAGAAGCTACATGGATGGTGGCACCATTTATGCAGAAAGGGAACTCTAAGGGAGAAGAAGTTCTGGTGGAAAAATGGCAGATTTATTTATAATCACACTGACCTTTCTGGGTTGTTCTAAGTCTTAGAAACATTATATGTGAGGCACCCAGAAAAGTACCTGGCATGTCGTGGGTGCTTGATAAATGGTGCCTCTTACTCTTGTTTCGTTTTTTAAAAAAATCTATTTCAGGCCCTGTTTTGTTAAATCATGATGTTCTTTTGCTATTTAGTGTGAGCTCTTCAGAGCACAAGAATTGAAGTTTTGTTCACTGTGCCGCACGTTTTCATGTGTGTTTCTTTCTCTCCTTCTCTTCTGCATGCTGCCTGGGGACTGGCTTCCTTGTGGTCAGCACCAATGGGCAGCGCCCAGGTGACCCCGGGGACTCCACTCTGCCTCCTCACCACAGGTGATCGCCAGAGCCCCGGGTGGGTGGGAGGGGAGAGTTGCCCACGCTCAGTGAGTCCTCCAAGCCAGGTGCACCAGAGAGGAACCAGCAGTCCCTCCAGTACACCCACCCATCTCTCCACCCAGTCACCCATCAACCCACACATTCATTCATCTGCCCATCCATCCATCCATCCTTCTATCCATATACTCATCTATCCACTCACCTATTCATTCATTCTACTAATGCTTACTAAGTACCTACTGGGTGCCAGGCACTGTTCTGGGCACTGAGATGTACAATGATGAGCAAAAGAAGATATGTTCCAGTGCCTTTCCAGGAGAAGAAAACAGCCATTGGTCAACACACTACACAAATAAATTTGCCACTTTGAGTGGTGTTACAGAGGAAAGGTACAGGGTATTCAGAATAAACAAACCCATGTGCAGCCAAGGGAGTACTTCACAGGGGAAGTGACAGCTGAGCTGTGATCTAAAGTTGAGAAAGAGTTGATGTAACAATTCTGTGCTTAGGAAGTGAGAAGCTCTCATGGTGATCTCAGGTCTACCATTTGTCCTGACAATTTACCCATACCATGATCAGCCCCACTTTTCCTATCCGTTAAATAGGAATAATCCCACCTACCCCTTATGGGGCACCATTTACATTGTAGTAGACTGTACACATGCCGTGGCATCTGAGACTAAACATGATAATAAATGCCAGAGGAGCTGCTATGGGTATGCCCAGTTTAGAGTCTCTGTATTTGTTTGAAATAAATACCAGCCCCTTTCCTCAAGTACACCATATGTAGAGCTCATTTCACATAAATGTGTGCCATTCTTCAAAGGACACAGAGCCCACCTGTGCTGATGCCCACTGTAGTACTCAAAAGACAATCTGCTAACCTAGAGACCTCTTTATTGCAGGGTCCCTTTTTAGTCACTGGGAAGTTTCTTGGAGATGTCGAACCTTTAACTGTCACCTCTTTCAAAGTCCTTGCCCAGACAATGGCCTCTGGTCTACTAATCCCTGACCGGTCAGTTTATCATGGTGGAAAAGGAAGTGCAGCAGGAAGTGATGACATCAGTCTGGGCATCCAGTACCTTCACAGTTCACTCCTGTCCACCCCCTTTCCCAAACTCAGAGACATCACTGCTAGTGAATGTCTTAGGTTGAGTTCCCTGGACACTCAGACTGAGATGGGGATTCTTGTGCAAATTATTCATTGCAGAATGTTCTCAGAAGAAAGAAAGGGAGGAAGACGAGATAGGGCAGAGAAAAAGCTATAGGAGGATGTGGAGACCTGCATCTGCCTGAGCCCCTGGGGCAAAGGGGAGGTCTGGAGTAGGAAATGTACTAAAGAGTTGATTCCACCTTGAGGCAAGGGGGCCGATATTTGTACAACAGTTTTGGTCAGCTACTAGCTGTGGGATGCCATGGGAATGCATGACCTCCTGGAAAAGTGGTTCCCTTTTGCCTAATGGTACTTCTCTAGGAAGGGAGGTATTTGTGAGCCATATGCTGCCAGCACCCACAGCAGCTGGAGAGTGGGCGCACCAGCCCTGTAAAGGAGACTGGGACTGAGCCTAAACAGCCTCCACTATGGGCCAGTTTTGTCTCTGCCTTTGTACTGCCATGGACACCCATACTCCAGTGTGTCACTGCCAACACCACAGGAATTTCATCTCAGCCAGTCCCTGTTAGATCACCTTAAGCAAGTTGCATAGCCTTATTTCACCAGCAAAACTATCATAAATACTTCATACCATCATATTAAAAATTCAATTAGAAATGCTTTGGGAGGCTGAGGTGGGTGGATCACCTGAAGTCAGGAGGTCGAGACCAGCCTGATCAACATGGTGAAACCCTGTCTCTACTAAATGCAAAAAAATAGCCAGGCACAGTTGTGCATGCCTGTAGTCCTAGCTACTTGAGAGGCCAAGGCAGGAGAATTGCTTGAACCTGGGAGGTGGAGGTTGCAGTGAGCCGAGATTGAGCCATTGCACTCCAGCCTAGGCAAAAAGATCTAAACTCTGTCAAAAAAAAAAAAAAAAAAAGACAGAAATGCTAGGAATGTTGTTTGCATGCATAGCACATAGTAGGCCTTTACCAAATATCAGTCCCCAGCCCGACCTTATCTGAGGCCCTTCCCAAAGGGAGGTGGGAGTTGCAGATGGACACATGGGAGAGTGCAGATGGACAGTGGGAGAAAAGTGACTCTTGCCACTGTGCACGCCCCCAATTTACAGAGAAACAGTGCTTCTCCAGAGTGTGTGCAGGCTGCTCTGTGTCTGCTGGGCCATTGTTCTCTGGACTCTATTCAAGTAGAGCAGTCAGATAGTATTTTCTTTAAACAGAGCCAATCCCATATCAGGTGCTTTTGTTCTTACCTCTTGTCTTCCAAGGCATCTGAACGTTCCTCCTCTGACAGGTTTATTTCCTTGTGATCCATTTATTTCCACAGGTTTCTCAGCCTCATTTGATGTGTGAGGTGCCTGTGAGTGCTATCCCTTTCAAAGGGTGTTTTTGTTAATGTTCGGCCCCTGGTAGCAATAATGGCTGATGTAAATAATGACTGCCTGGGTCTGAATGATGGCGATATTAGGCTTTAAGCATAGGCAGCCTCTTTTCATATCAACACCAACTCGGGGAGCTGTGGGACCACATGATGTAGCAGGGACAGGCTGGCATTCGGAGAGAGTGGAGGCTGATTTCAGCTCTCAGCAATGCCACCTTCTGGGCTGGTGATCCTGGATAAGTTGTTTCTCTTTTCCAGACTTTAGTATCTTTATTTGGAGAAATGGAAATATTAATAACCACAATCATAGCTAATCGTGAGAACTAAGTGCAATAACAGCTTTCACTTCTTTGCCCATCTAGCTCCGAGTAGCTCTTCAGCTCTTCTGGGCTCCTTGGCTTATTCTTCAAGGAATTCATGCTCTATGGCAAGATTGCTCAACTGCCGCACCATTGATGTCTGGGCCCAGATAGTTCCTTCTTGTGGGGCGTGGCGGGGAGGGGATGCTGTCCTGTACACTGTAGGATGTTTAGCAGCCTCTCCCCACTAGATGCCAGCAGCTTGTCAACCCCAATGGTAACAACCAAATACATCTCCAGACATTCCCAAATGTCCCAAGGAGACAAAATCATCCGATGTTATAAACCTCCAGAGCCATACTGTTGAATAGAAATAGAATTTGAATGTTGCATGTAATTTTAAATTTCTTACAGTTGCATGGGAAAAGCAAAAAGAAACAGGTGAAATTAATTTTAATAATGTAATGTATCTAACTCAATACAGATGCTCCTCAACTTATGATGGGATTATGTCCCAATAAACCCATCCTAAGTTGAAAATGTTGTTTAAGTCGAAAATGCATTTAATGCAATTAACCTATGGGCCATCATAGCTTAACCTAGCCTACCTTAAATGTGCCATGCTCAAAACACTTACATTAGCCTACAGTTGGGCAACATCATCTAACACAAAGCCTATTTTATATTGCAGTGCTGAATATCTCATGTAATTTATGGAAGACTTTCACTGAAAGTGAGAAGCAGAATGTTTGCATGGGAACTTAAAGTGCACTTTTTACTGAATAGATCTCACTTTCTTAGTAGCATTGTAAAATCAAAAAATCTGAAGCCCAGCTGTCTTAAGTTCACAATCATCTGGTATATCCAAAATAATATTATTTTAATATGCAACAAAATTAAACAACGGATGAAAGATATTTTATATTCTTTTTTTGTACTAAGTCTTTAACGTTTGGTGTGTGTTTTACACATAGAACACTTCGATAAAATACATTTTATAATTCAGTTCCTCAGTTACACCAGCCACTTTTCAAGTGCTTTAAGTACGTGGCTTGGTGACTACCATTGTGGGCAGTGCAGATCTAGAGAGAAAACATCTAGGGTCATCTTTGTCCCTGGTTGGTGAATAGAAATGCATGTGTAGAGAAGAGGCTCAGTAAATATTCAGTTCCTTTTATTTCTTGTTGCTCCCTAGGGGACATTTGGCAACATCTGGAGGAGATGTATCTGGCTGTCACAGCAGGGTGTAAGGGGCTACAGTCACCTAGTGAGTAGAAGTCAGGTAGGCTTCCATTGAGAGAAATAAGGTAAACACCTCTTCTGGCCAGGATTGGACATTTTTCTGGAGTGAGTTGAGTGGAAGCCACAGTAGACAAGTGACTAGTTAATTAACATTAAGAGGATTCAGTCTCGCTCAGGCCCACCAGTGCAGAAAACAGGCCTCTTCTCACATCCCTCCTGCAGTTCAGCCAGGCCTCAAGGCGGTGGCCTGGACCTCTGAGCCCAAGAGGAGACTGACAGTGTCCAGTCTGGAGGCCAGAGTAGCTGTACTAACGACCATCCCCAGGGGCAGATCTGACTTATTTGTCTTGGACATGACCAGTGCCCATTGTCAATTTTCTACAGAGAGAAGGACTATGGGACAAGCCCTCATCTGAAGTCCAAACTGCATTCCTTAAAACTGAGGGAACTTGAGCGAATCACTCAGCCTTTCCGAACCTCACCTTCTTCATTTATGAAATAGTAAACTTGAGTCTCTGTACAGCCAGGCCCGATCATGGTGAGGGCCAACAGAAGAAATGGATACACTCTTTTTTTTTTTGTTCTATTTTTTTTTGAGGTGGAGTTTCACTCTTGTTACCCAGGCTGGAGTGCAATGGCGTGATCTCGGGTCACCACAGCCTCTTCTTCCTGGGTTCAAGCAATTCTCCTGCCTCAGCCTCCTGAGTAGCTGGGACTATAGGCACGCGCCACCATGCCCAGCTAATTTTTGTATTTTTAGTAGAGACGGGGTTTCACCACGTTAACCAGGATGGTCTCAATCTCTTGACCTCGTGATCCACCCGCCTCAGCCTCCCAAAGTGCTGGGATTATAGGCGTGAGCCACTGCACCCAGCCCACTCTTAACCCAGCTCCAGGTTTGAGGAAATATTGAACACAGTTTCCCTTATTATTCCTTTATTTCCTGTGCACCTCATGTT